AATCCTTCACATATGCGGAACATATTAGGTTGGGTTTTATAATGTATGTGTTATAAAAGAAGAAGCCACACACACATACAAATACAAAACATGAAATCTAAAAACTTTATTGAAAACATTTTCGGCGGGAAAAAATATGTCAAGTTTAAAAGGTGCATTTAAATTGATTACTCAAAATATGAAGAAAACAATAAACATGTAATGAATATACATGCTGCATTACGAATGTTTAACAAATACCTGCACAGGAAAAAAACATTAAGACAGGGGTAATCCGTATTAAATATATATGTAATTCAGGAGTCTGGTCTCATACAGGGTATATACTGTGACATTCCCGGTTTAGGGCTTATATTATATCCCCTTCACCTTCGGCTCAGGGGATATAAAATCTAAGCTGTGAATATCACATCATATACCCTGTCTGAGACCTGAATAACATATAATGTAACATGTGTATGCATGTACATTATATATCTTAAGTCTGATCTGGGTGACTACCAACATATTAAAAGGTACTAATTATTTAAGCAAGATATTATAGTTTGTCCACTTTTGTAGTATATATTCATTATGAAATCTATTTTGGAACATAATGGCCTTTATTGATGTAAACTTGCATTTTAATTCAACATGAATATGATATTTATATTTTTATATAGCTTCGTAGAAAATCAGGCAGCAGTAACGCATGGCATTACCTGGCTGGTAACTGTTTATGTGCTTTGTTCATTAAAATTGTAGCACTTCACAGTTGCTGGGTAGGTCAAAATATCTCAGCATTAAGAACATGGCAGAAAGTAAATGAAGTTTTCATGAAAAGAAAAAAAATGAAACCTTAATGATGAGCTCCACTGGAGGTTGCTGATGTATAAGCATGTACTTGTAAGTATTACTATCTGGAATTGACTGTTTTACGTACAGTGTCAACACATATTTTAGACTGTATGAAGTCCTATAATGGCTTATTACCACTTCATTTTAAGCCTGGGGTTAGTTCTCTCACTGGCAATATGCCACCCAAGATATAGTAGTTAGTAAGTTAGTTGTATCCGTCATGTGACTTCAATCACCACCTGACAAAAAATATAGGCATCGTCACTTCAAACAAATGTTGAGCAAACGGGTGAAAAAAATTTATGCTATACTTCACAAAATATTTGTGAAATAAAAATATAATTAAATGGTCAACTCCCTTTAGCCGCATAGGGAACTGAGATATGTACTTACAGAACATTGATTATTTCTAAACTACACTGCAGAATGATGATCCTGAAATTGCTTCAGACTTTAATAGTGCAGGGGTACATGCTCGCCTTCTTTTCGGTAAATGACGTCATAAGTGCGTGTGTAATTGATCTTTTCCGGTGAAGGGCACGAATCAAGAAATAGCCTATCATACCACAATCTCCTTACATTTAACTCGTACAGAATCCCAACAACAAAAATAACTGGTACTGTTGAGCCTTAAATTGTACATTTAGGTTTAATAAGACAATTAAACTGATAATACTTAGAAAAAAATTCATTAATAACAGACCAGTGTAGATATAATGTGCAATTTTTGGGATCTAAAATTATAGAAGTTGTGTGAGGGAAATATTTTTTTCAGGACACCCTTTGATGTCAATGATACATCATGAACAGTGAATGAATACAAAGTTACATTATATTACTAAAATATAAGGGTTCATGATGTATCCTTAGTCTCTGAATGCATTAAAATATACTGTAAAGCACAGAAAAAGCATCAGTTAGACATTAATTTTGAAATGTTTATATTTCAAGATAACTGTTAATGTTCATTGTTGACTTCATGTTATTATTTAAATGATGTCATTGCTGTTTGAATAGTGGAAAATGCTCAAAAGATAATGTGCAGAATAAAATAAGAAATAACAGGTGGAATTATTCATTTATATGATAATTTTTTACCTGTAAATTATAAAGTTCTTTTATTATTGAGATACTTGTTAGGTCATATCTTAACTTATTGCTGAAACACAAAATTGTAGGACCATGCTTGCTTGAATTCATTGAAAAAATGCAACATTTTATGCAGAAGAACAGGTAATCTTTTATTTCAAAACTAAGAAAAAATATATCATTGATCACCTATACCAAACATTTATGTTTCAATTAACATGGAAAAACAGAACTCAATTAAGAAAATAAAATGAAAAACATCATGTACATAAACATGATAAAGACTTCCTGAAACATTTTTCAAAGTAGTGCATTATCCTATTCACTAGGTTTTACTCATAATGATACTAAGCTGAGTATACAGCAGTATCAAGCATGACGATTATTTGATATTTAAGATAAACAATGATTTAGAAGAGGGTTTAATTCATGCTTTGTCATAGATTTGTAGATATATATTATTTTATAAATAAATTGTTGAATTCTTGGAATGCGATCAGAACTTCAGACAAGAATAATTTTATGCAAACATACAAATTTGATGTCGGCTAAAATCATTCTCTAAAATTAAGATATTGATTTTTGGCTGTAACAATTTGACAAATGGCATTACTAAAAATTCAGAAATTAATGTTTCTTTTAATATTCTTGCATATCACTGATTACTGGTAAAAATGGGATTGCTAGTATTTGGTGAAGGAAAATCACTGCTGAAATTTTGGAGATTTTGTAATTGCTAAACTGGCACTGCTGCATTTTACGCATTGAAAAACATTGGGATATTTTTTTAATTTTCATTGTTTGGAGATGTATGATCACAGGCTGAAAACTGGTCCCATGTCAGTTTAATTTTTAGGTTCAATTTAGTGATTATTTACATGTTCTCCTTAGACTTGAAACTCAGTTAGCCATTTTTAGGACTTAACACTTGTAAACATAATTTTTGAGTGAAGTTTAAAGATTATAAGTCCTTTACCAATGAAAAGTTACATATTGACACACTTGATCACACTAGTATTTAACATCATGGCATATAGACTGAGAGTTTTAAAGTTCTGTAATAATAAATATTTGAAACAATACTGGCTTCGCCACTTTCATATATATTTTTCGCCTGTTTGTTTTTTTTTTCAATTTGCAGCGTCGTTGCCTCACGTACATCTGGGATGCAGTATAACACGCATTATTAAGTCCAAGTGTAAATTTATCCCATATCTCTATTTCATACTCCAAACAAATAATTACACTTAATTCTAACAATAATCTTTATTTACATTTATGGATACTGTAAAATTACATTATAAAAAGGCAATAAAACTTTCTTTCTATAACAATAAGAAGATGTGTTATGATTTCCAATGAGACAACTCTCTTACTGCCCCCTTTTTTGTGTATTTTGGATTGCCAATAAGCATATTTGTATCGAAAACATCTGGTCATTATAAACAAAAAAACAATACTCCTTTCTTTGTTCAATATAAAGTTAATCCAGGCGTACTTAGATAAAAGTGGATTAAATAAAAAAAAACTGGCAGATGGCGATCATTGCAATACCTTGCCGTTCTTATCTTTGGATTAATGTCTTATTTTAGATTGATCTTATTAAGACAAAGTTTCATCAATGATTGTATGATGAATGTATGTATGCTATAACTAGAACTATTTGTCAAGAAATCATTTGATAGTTGGAATAAATCAGGTTTTGAATTTCAAAGCGTGTGTTGTATGAAAACACACAACCATCTTAAATAAAGGCTCAAATTCCTAAATAATATTAAAAATCAAAGAAAAAGTATTCGAGTCAATCTCAATTCTTGAACGATTACCACTTCTGACTAATTTTGACGAGAAAAAGATAGATCGTAAACCATATTGATATTACTTTTGCTGTTGGGTCTGTTTTTTAAGATGTCCATTTGGCGTGACTCTGTGCTTATGTATCCCGTCATACTTTGAACGACAAAATTATTTTATTTATTAATATTACTTATACTGTTGAGTCTGTTTTTAGTGATATACATTTGACGTGAATTCTGTACTTATTTATCCCGTCATACTTTGAACCACACAATTATTTTTATTTATCATATTACTTTTATTGTTAAGTCTGTTTTTTGTGATATTCATTTTACGTGACTCTGTGTTTGTGTATTCCTTCATATTTTAAACGACAAAATTATTTTATGTCTACCTGTGCGAATATCAAACGCGCGTATTTACGACCATACTTAAAACCTTTCATCCTTTATGGGTGTATTTTACATAAATCAAATCGTAAAATATAAGCAAAATGAGGATGTTAAATTTGATGTATGCCTTTTTGTGCTTCTTCGTTACATTTCTTTGTTTTTATAGTGATTAAGATGATAACACAATGTTGACTGCTGTGCCCCTATATTTGACATTTTTACCTATTGTGTCTGTTTGTTTTGTTCACGCATCGTTGTCAATATAATGGAGTTTGGTGAGACTGTCATACAAGTGAGAGGTTTAGCTAGCTATAAAACTAGGTTCAATCCACCATTTTCTACTTAAGAAAATGCCTGTACCAAGTCAGTAATATGACAATTGTTATCCATTCGTTTGATGTGTTTGAACTTTTGATTTTGCCCTTTGATTGGGGACTTTCCTTTTTGAATTTTCCTCGGAGTTCAGTATTTTTGTGATTTTACTTTTTGAATGCCGTGACGTTTTCCTTGATAAACTTTCTTCCTTTACATTTATGTGACCTATAAAAAAATCACCAGATGACATCAAACGGAAGTTTACTAGGTAGTTCATACTTTGAATAGATTTTTATGTAACCTCTGGTGTCATAAAAACAATTAATGTATGTTTAAGGAAAAGTATGTTAAAAATTAACAATGCATGAATGTATTAAGAAAACAATGAATGTACGTATAAAGAAGATTATTAACCACACATACCTTTATCAATACAAATTATTCAAAACTTCACATCTTGCTAATGCGGTTACCTATAAATAATCTGTATAATTAACATAATATGTCATTGGATAGTTATATATTATGATGAATAATAGATACATATTGTTTTTATTTATGCAGGATTCTCTCAATACTTCAGCTGATTTCCGTGTTTCTGGCTATCGTAAGTATGTTACAATTTTGATTTTTACTTTCACGACTTTAAATTTACATGTCGGATGTGTGCTGATTGATACGTTAGTCTTAGATACATTATTATTTTATTTGTTGTTATTGCCTTTGAACTAGCTGTCAGTAACTTCGAGAACTCTCAAAAATGAACTTAATGTCTATTTTTTGTAGGGATCTATAAATACCCTGCCACGTCCTGTCTGTGTTTTTGTGATTTGATGAGTTAAGCCCTTAGAAACTGATTTTTTAGTTTGATCATATGTTGTACTGTCGCACTGTTGTCCAAAGTAAGGGGAGGGTTGGGCGCCCGCTAACATGTTTAACCCCGCCAAATTCTGTATGTTTCTGTCCCAAGTGTGGAGCCTGTAATTCAGTGGTTGTCGTTTGTTTCTGTATATCAACTTTGTATTTCGTTCATTTTTTTTCTACATAAATAAGGTCGTTAGTTTTCTCGTTTGAATTGTTTTACATTTGTCATTTCGGGGTCTTTTATAGCTGACTATGCGGTATGGGTTTTGCTCTTTGTTTAAGGCCGTACGGTGACCTATAATTGTTAACTTCTATGTCATTTGATCTCTGGTGGAAAATTGTCTCATTGGCAATTATACCACATCTTCTAATTTGTTTATTTAAACCTCTGGGATTTACTTTTTTTGTGAAGTACATACTAATTCTATTCTGATAAATTGGATAAAGAAAAAAACATATGTTATCATGAATGTCTTGTTCTACTTAAAAAAAGTTAAATTTTGTGCAGCAAAATTGAAATCCTCCAATTAGTCGAAGTTTGGTATTCAACATTTCCTCATTATCAATAATTGATCCAAAAGTGTATGTCAAATTATATAGCAGTATGTCGTATGTCAGGTCGCCTATTCTAGGGTTCGAATTGCATACACGGCTATGCAATATAATTATACGATATGGATTATAAGGTTATCAATAATTGAGGGCTCACTTATATTAAGTTAAATTAAGAATACAATTTCATCAGGTTAATACAAAAAAATAATAATCAATTACCACTATCACTATATATAGCTGTCTCAAATCTTTAATGTGTACTTAATGTTTATTTCTTGTAGGGATCTATAAATACCCTGACACGTCCTATCTGTGTCTTTTTTATCTGATGAGTTAAGCCCTTATAAACTGATTTTTAAAGTTTGTTCAAATGTTGTACTGTTGCATCGCTATCCAAGGTTAGTGGGGGGGGGGGGGGGGGGGCTAACATGTTTAACCCCGCCACATTTTGTATGTTCCTGTCCCAAGACTGGAGCCTGTAAATCAGTGGTTGTCGTTTGTTGCTGTATATTATCTTTGTATTTCATTTATTGCTTTTTTACATAAATAAGGTCGTTAGTTTCTTCGTTTGAATTGTTCGACGTTTTTCATTTCGGGGCCTTTTATAGCTGACTATGCGGTATGTGTTTTGCTCATTGTTGAAGTACGGTGACCTTTAATTGTTTACTTGTATGAACACACACAACCATCTTAAATTGGGCTCAAATTCCTGAATAATATCAAAAATCCAAGAAAAAGTATTCGAGTCAACTTCACTTCTTAAACGATTACTATTTCGGACTTATTTTGACGTGTAAAAGATAAAGAATAGTATGTATAAAAATAACAATGAATGTACGCATAAATATAGATTCTACCACTGCATTGAGTGTGATACGATATTTATCCACTCGAGACAGTTAAATTTTTAAATTTAAAACGCGAGGCTCGCCGAGCGTTTTAAATATTTAAATTTTTAACTTTCAAGAGTGGATAAATATCGTATTACACGAGATTTGGTGGTGGAATCTGTTTCTCTAATGATTTCCAAACAATATGCGGGCAAACTTATTCCTTCTTTTTGAATGATCTGCAACAAGATGTGTTCTTTCTATGTGACCTCATCAGGCATGATCGCCTTTTTTCATGCCGTCACAATAGGAAATTCAGAGGAAAGCAAGAAAATTCGACGTCATAATCGTATTTTAACCAATGAAGAACTGAGATCAAACCAACCACACGTTGATTAAATTTTTTTTATACAATGGGTGCAGAAAGGGATAAATTGACGAAGAATTAGAGAAAGATGATTATTAGCCACACATACCTTTATCAATACAAATTATTCAAAACTGAACATCTTTCTAATGCGGTTACCTATAAATAATCTGTATAATTAACATAATATGTCATTGGATAGTTATATATTATGATGAATAATAGATACATATTGTTTTTATTTATGCAGGATTATCTCAATACGTCAGCTGATTTCCGTGTTTCTGGCTATCGTAAGTGTGTTACAATTTTGATTTTTACTATCACGACTTGAAATTTATATGTCAGATGTGTGCTGATTGATACTTTAGTCTTAGATACATTATTATTTTATTGCTGTCAGTAACTTCGAGTACTATCAAAAATGAACTTAATGTCTATTTTTTGTAGAATAAGGTCGTTAGTTTTCTCGTTTGCATAATTTTACATTTGTCATTTCGGGGCCTTTTATAGCTGACTATACGGTATGGGTTTTGCTCTTTGTTTAAGGACGTACGGTGACCTATAATTGTTAACTTCTATGTCATTTGATCTCTGGTGAAACGTTGTCTCATTGGCATGCAGCAAAATTGAAATCCTCCAATAAGTCGAAGTTTGGTATTCAACATTTCCTCATCATCAATAATTGACCCAAAAGTGTATGTCAAATTATATAGCAGTATATCGTAAGTCAGGTCGCCTGTTCTAGGGCTCGTATTGCATACACGTCACGGCTATGCATTAGAATTATACTATATGGATTATAAGGTTATCAATAATTGAGTACTCACTTATATTAAGTTAAATTAAGAAAACAATTTCATCAGGTTAATAAACAAAAAAATAATAATCAACTACCACTATCACTATATATAGCTGTTTACTTGTCTTTAAATTATAGTTATACCACTTTGTAAGGTAGCTTATTCACAGGTCTTATTCGGTTTATCGATGACTTTGTCCGTTCATCTTTGTGTTTGTATGGTTGCATTAGAAAAAAGGCCCATTGATCGAAAAGGCTACGGGTGCTTTGAGAATAATTTATAAAAATTATGTAGCATATTTTCTCGCTTTTCTATTGCTTACGAAAAAATTATTGAGTATTCAGCTAAGTGATTCCACACGACAAATATATTACTGATAAGTTCAAGAATCAAATTTTGTAATCTATGAATAAAACTGAAAGGCAACAGAGTTAAAAGTTCATAATCATCTCTGAATAGCATTGAAAGGCGACAGAGTCAGATGTGTGTTATCTTCGAAAACAACTTAAAGGCGACAGAAAGAGACCCCTTAGGGTTTACATCACGGTCTTTTAAAATACATATTAGAATTAATGGAACGTGACAAGATCACTGATAACTTGATGTGACGCATATCAATTATAACCTGGGGATAGAATACAAAATATTTTATAATTTCATAATATGACAGAATAAACTGTCTGTTAATTTACATTTAACTCAATTAGTTGATCAGTGGTTACTTTCAAACAGATTTCCATTTTCATGAAGTTTAAAAAGATTTGAAATCACTATTATAGAAAATGTAAATGAATAGCAAGTGCATACTCAGTAAAATTAAGAGTTTTATGTCAATGGCATACCTATCGTTTGTCTTCTATACAAATATGTTTAATTTGTTTTATGCTAATTCATAAGATTCACTGAATCCCGTTTACTTTCTTATCGTGTATAGATAGTGTCGGATGTAAGTAAATAACAGCTGTTATTACAAAATTGGAGATACTGTTTTTGTATTTATATCCACAGTATTGTTCTAATTAAAGTATAGATCAGGACAAACAACAATGAGACAGCAAAATGAATGTAACATCAAAATTTCTGACATCTTTAGATTCATACACATTTAATAGTGACATTTCTGAAACCCTCGCTGCAGATAATGCTTTTAGTTAAGTGTTATTGATAAAATTCATCATATATACCAGGATTGAAATTGTGTACGCCAGACGCGCGTTTTCTCTACAAAAGACTCACCAGTGACGCTCGAATCAAAAATGATAAATAGACCAAATTAGGGGGAAGTATCCTTGGCTTTCCAGACAAACCTGTTGAGTTGGTGGTCTTTCCTTGCCAAGTATTGCCAGGAAATGTGATATGAGAAGTATGCTTTCAAAAGTAGTTCCATTAAGAGATGTGCGCTGTTGACTTGTTGAATGAAAATATTTAGTCCCTCTTCACATTTATTCCGCTTAATTACAACGTCAACATTAAGACAGAAACAAGAAAGAGGCAATGGTAAATATGTGTTATGGAAAATTGCTTGTCTTGTGTATCCATAATATATTGTCATAGGATAGAGCCACCCATGTTTTCATTTTTATTCCATTGTTCAGTAGATAGTACTGTGATCCATATTAATTTATTCCCTCGGTCAACTTTCCTGTTTGCCACCCCTTTCACCAAAATAATAATTCCTTCGCTACTTTTATACTTTTCAATTTGCAGTGTCATTGTCTAATGTACCTCTTGGGTGTACTATTACATTGATTAGTAAGTCTAGGTGTACATTTGTCTCACATTTCTATTTCATTATCAATATTTTAATAGTTACACTAAATTCTAACAATAATCTTTATTTATATTCATGGAAACTGTAAAATTACATTATAATGGCAATAATACTTTCTTACTATAAAAATAAGAAGATGTATGATTTGCAATGAGACAACTCTGCACAAGAGACCAAATGACACAGAAATTAACATAGGTCACCGTACGGTCTCACTGCCCCCTTTTTGTGGATATTGGATTGCCATAAGTATATTTGTATCGAATACATCAGATCACTATAAAAAACAATACTCCTATCTTCCCGATACTGTGTTCAAATTTCAAAATATTTTTGTCAAGTGAAACATTTATAATTATCCACCAATTCAAAACAAATTAAGGGGAAACACTCTTGTTCGATAGATGTCAATTAGGTCGAAATCATACTTTTCTTTTAGTTTTTGGTCCATCACATCATTATTTAATTGCAAAAGATCCTGCCAATTGGTATTTCAGTAATTATAAGCCTTTTTATAGATAATATAATGGGGCATTACTGTTAAACGTCAGCAGTGAACTTGGTCTTTCATCATCAAACCGAATTAGATTGTTTTCAAGTTGACTATTATTATCATTTAGAAACACAAAAACAAACCATGACCATCCGGAATGGTAAATGAAAATAATATCAAACTCGAACTTGATCTGTATTGCATGTCCATGACATGTTATGCTATAACTGAACATATTTGTCAAGTAATAAATTGATAGTTTGGAATAAATCAGGTTTTTAATTTCAAAGCGTGTGTTGTATGAAAACACACAACCATCGTAAATTCTTGCTCAATTTCCTGAATAATATCAACAATCAACAAAAATGTCAATTTTTGAAACGATTAATATTTCGAACTAATTTTGATGAGAACAAGATAGATATTCAAAACCATTTTAATTCCGAGACGTTTTCCTTGAAAATATTTCTTCCTTTACATGTATGCGACCTATAAAAAAATCACCAGATGACATCAAACGGAAATTTACTAAGAAGTGCATACCTTTAATAGATTTGTATGTAACCTCTGGTGTCATAAAAACAATTAATGTATGTTTAAAGAAAAGTATGTATAAAAATAACAATGCATGAATGTATTAAGAAAACAATGAATGTACGTATAAAGAAGATTATTAACCACACATGCCTTTATCAATACAAATCATTCAAAACTGCGCATCTTTATAATAATGTTACCTATAAATAATCAGTATAATTAGCATAATATGTCATTGGATAGTGTATATATTATGATTAATAATGGCAACATATTGTTTTTTTATGCTGGATTCTATCAATACTTCAGCTGATTTCCGTGTTTCTGGCTATCGTAAGTGCGTTACAATTTTGATTTTCACTATCACAACTTTAAATGTATATGTCAGATGTGTGCTGATTGATAGGTCTTAGATACATTATTATTTTATTAGTTGTCATTGGCTTTGAACTAGCTGTCAGTAACTTCAAATACTCTCAAATATGTACTTAATGTTTATTTCTTGTCGGCATCTATAAATACCCTGCCACGTCCTGTCTGTGTTTTTGTGATCTGATGAGTTAAGCCCTTATCAACTGATATTTAAAGTTTGTTCATATGTTGTACTGTTGCACCGCTGTCCCAGGTTAGGGGGGGGGGGGGGGCGCTTACATGTTTTACCCCGCCGCATTCTGTATGTTTCTGTCCCAAGACTGGATCCTGTAATTCAGTGGTTGTCGTTTGTTGCTGTATATTATCTTTGTATTTCGTTCATATTGTTTTTTTTCACATAATTGAGGTCGTTAGTTTTCTCGTTTTTATTGTTCTACGTTTTTCATTTCGGGGCCTTTTATAGCTGACTATGCAGTATGTGTTTTGCTCATTGTTGAAGTACGGTGACCTATAATTGTTTACTTCTGTGTCATTTGATCTCTGGTGGAGAGTTGTCTCATTGGCAATTATATCACATTTTCTTTTTTTTTTATTTATACCTCTGGGATTTACTTTTTTGTGAAGTAAATATTAATACTATTCTAATAAATTAGATAGAGAAAAAAAAACATATGTTATTGTGAATGTCTTGTTCTATTTAAAAAAGTAAAATTTTGTGCAGCAAACTCCTTTTGAAATACTCCAACTAGTCGAAGTTTGGTATTAATCATTTCCTCACTATCAATAATTGACCAAAAAGTGTATGTCAATATATTGTATATAGCAGTATATCGTAAGTCAGGTAGCCTGTTCTAGAGCTCGAAATGCATACACGGCTATGCAATACAATTATACTATATGGATTATAAGGTTATCAATAATTGAGTACTCACTAATATTAAGTTAAATTAAGAAAGTAATTTCATCAAGTTAATAAAAAAAAAATAAACAATTACCACTTTCACTATATATAACTGTTTACTTTTCTTTAAATTATAGTTATACCACTCTGTAAGGTAGCTTATTCACATGTCTTATTCGGTTTATCGATGATATTGTCCGTTCATCCTTTTTCGTTTGTATGGTTGCATAAGTAAAAAAGTCCTTTGATCGAAAAGGCAACGGGTGCTTTGAGAATAATTTATAAAAATTATGTGGCAGATTTTCTTGCATTCACATTGTTTACGAAAAGATATTGAGTATGTAGCTAGGTGATTTTGCAAATCAAATATATCATTGATAAGTTCAAGAATCAAATTTTGTAATCTATGAATAAAA